AATCTCGTTTTGACTAATTTACTTAAGTCGCCCGATCCAGACTGCCTTACGTTTGCAGTTATATAAATTTCGTTGATTACTTGTAGTGCCGCACCAGTATTCGCTAATACTGTGTTTGTTGGGTCAACTCATTGATGTGGGACGGGTTACGACATCTAGGCGCTGAAAACGACGCACGGAGGGATGGTAGTCCCCACTGCTGTGTCTTCGAGTGAGAAGTCACCATTGGTGATTCGGTCGCGATGAAAAGCGCTCGGTGTTACTCGTACATGCCTGGCCCTAAGCCTTTGCCGCTATTCGGCAACTCCTGGCGGTTTGCCTTGGGGAAGAAGCCTTGGCGGACTAGTGCTTTAGATATAACGTTGTGGACTCTAAGGGCACTGGCAGGGGAAGGAGGCGCCGCAAAGGTAGCGAAACTCTTTGGGCATCCAGACCTTGTGTTCCCGTTTTGCGCGGAGGAGACGGCGCGGATATACAGGCGAGAGGATTCCATGCCGTACAGAGCGGTAGCGCCGTGCCTAAAACATTATAAGCAGGAGCTGAGAAAGGACTTTTTTGGTGAAGAGCCTGGTCTGATTGGAGTGTAAGTTGATTAACCCTTGGTGAGAAGAATTGCGTTATTCAATATTAGTTTAAATGTAAATTATGTTGCAGACATGGTGAACCATGGTCGAGATTCAGATCTAAGGTGTCGAAAGCTCTCGCAGCCCCGGAGGCTGCTAGGGCGGCTGTGCCGGCATTAGACGATGTCGCTGATGATTTTATTGACAGGTATGATATTAAAATTTCGTAACCTTAAAATGCTCCAACCTGATAGAGGTTTGATCTAACTAACATTGACCTAAGTGAAATAAATTAATATATATGTTTGTGAACATAATTGCATAAAAAGTATGACCAAGTAAACACACAATCCATTAATTTTTTGGTAAGTACTCAATTACGTTAATAACAGCTTCGGTTGCGGTACGTTACGTTATGGTAGGTAACCAAATATTATGTTTTCACACATCGAAAAGAAAACGAAGCAGAACCAGATAAAAACGTTGTTATATAACGCATTGTAGTAACGGGTATGAAAACCCGTTGAACGAGACGAGCATCATTTAGTTTTGCAAAAAAGTAGTTCAACAGTCTCGCGGTATGCATTCATAAGTAAATTGGCTACATTTTAATTAATGTTTTGCGTTAAAAAGCTTAAATGGTGTGTTTATAGAGTTGAGAGTCGTGGATCAATTGTGCTTGCATTCATCAGATGGTCTCAGGAGCTCTGTGGCCATAGAATCTCGGTTTAATGACCACATCCCGTTTATAACGACGGCGTCAGCGCACTTTGTTTTGAACACCGTATTACTCATTGAGAGGAACAACAAACCTCATTCAAACGTTTCGTATGAACGAGTTTAACGCGGAATATTTAACGCTCACTCAGTTGAAATGAATTGGATTTTGAGGAACACGTTTTTATAGAGATCTATCTGGTGTAATTTATGTTCTACAAATGGAAATGCGATATTTTGAAAGAAAGAAATCACCGAAGAATTTTTAGATATGATAAAATTATAATGCATTCAAATTTTTTNAATTGTTTCGTAGATTGGAGTGTATTTTGGACGAGAATCGAGAACTACCGAATGATTTCTTGACGGAGCTTTACAAATGGGCACTAGAATGTAAGTACATTAGGGAAATTACTGGTAAAGGAAAATCAGTTTCAATAGTAACCTTGAACTATGACACCACTCATTGTCACGATTTAATATTCAAAACCACATTTTCGTTACAGCGGTCGGAGCATGGGCCTTGGGTACTAGACTGGGGTGTCTCAATGCAGACGATTCAGAGGCAAAAGAAATAATTAGATGCATTCACGGATTCTTCCATAGTGTGCCAGAATTGGAACTCTCCGCACCACTGTGGCGCGTATATGCTACTCCAGCTTACAAAACTTACGTTGAAGCGCTGGACGCTTTTCGGGCCCTGTGTTTGAAAAGGTTAACAGACAAAGGGGTGTGTGCTTCCATAGCCAAGAGTTCTGGGAAGAAAGTTGCTACAATATTGGCTCTGGATTTGTTACTGGTTGGTGTCGATACTACAGCTGCCGCCGCAGCCAGCGCTATGTACTTGCTCGCAAATAATGAGCGAGCGCAGAGAAGATTGCAGGACGAATTAGATCGCAATCTCCCTACAAGTAGGACTGTTACGAGTAAAGACTTGGATAAGTTGCAATATCTGCGCGCCTGTATAAAAGAGACGTTGAGGTGAGTCGCTGCTGTCTTTATTGCCTCCCTCCATTACCTGCGATAGGCTCTCCTCGATAGGCCCTCGCGCCAGGCGTTATCTCAGCGCACGAGAGTATCGCACAGAGGCAGTTTGCATAATATTTACATTACAAGCCTAATGTTGCCAGAGTAAGAGCAAACATACACCGCTCTCGATACTTTCGTAGGTACAGTTTTGCTCTTGATCATACGATTTGTACGAGTATATTAATTNTATTAATTGGAATTTAATCCAATCAAATTACTCATCGTCATCTTTATTAGAATCTACTAGCTCGTATTCATCATGACAACAAAAACCTTGCAAGTACCTGCATGTCACCATAACAAATTGTCAACATGACAGGTTGTATTGCACTCAGCCAAGTGTAAAATGTACGTAACCCAATCGCCACACCTTGTAATTTATATGTAACTACTGCGTATATCGGTTCACATTACGTGACTTGAACATCGATACATCCTCACTTGCTTAACCACATGACAGTATTTAATCTGTTTCAGGATCAAACCAGTGATTCTGGGAAATGGTCGGTGCATTCAAAGTGACGCTGTCGTTTCTGGATATGAAGTGCCAAAGGGGGTAAGATAACTTATAGTTAATTCGACCCAATGATTCCACAAATTAGTTAAAAAGAACGTTACGTTAATTATTTTTTATCTTCCAGTCGCACGTCGTATTTCCGCATTACATTCTGTCTAATGAGGAGAAATACTTCCCGTCACCAGAAGAGTACGTTCCAGAACGATGGTTGAGGGATAACGAAATGTCCGAACCGCGGTGTCCTATGGCACGGTTGGGCGCGGATGAGGAACCGCGGAGCTGTGACAAGGAACGTACGAGCAGTGATCCGGAACGGGTATCTGGGAGCTGTGACGAGGAGCAGGCGACTGCGGTGTGGCGGAAACAGAAGGAAGTGGGGATCCACCCATTTGCCTCGCTTCCCTTCGGCTTCGGACGGCGGATGTGTATCGGGAAGCGGTTCGCTGAAGCTGAATTGCAACTTTTATTGGCTAAGGTGAGTGCTTTATTTTGAATTTAAGAGTCATCGTAACATTTCAGAAAAAATTTCATTCGTTTCAACTTTGGATCAATATTTTGAGCAAGTAAAATCAACACAATAACATTTTAAAATACTTTTTATTACTCCCATTCTTACATAATGCTATTGTGTGCAATAATGGCACTAATAACTTATTTAAAAACTATTCAGGATTAGCTATACTTTCTAATTCGGTACTAATTTCTTTAACTCAAGATAAGGCTCTAATTTTCAGACTTTCCACCGCTACCACGTGTCTTGGCGTTACGGCGAGCTGACGTACAGCGTAACTCCAACGTATATACCCAATGAGCCGCTTAAATTCGAGCTGATACCAAGAAAAAGGGATTGCTAAGAAACCTGCCAAAGATTCGAAGATTTCTTTTATACTGTCATGTTTATTTATATTGTAAGACCGCGATAAGATAGCAAAGTGTGTAGATTTGTAGTGATATTGATAATTTTTGTTACGAAAGACAAATGTATAAAACAGATGTAACTACGAGCATAGTAAAACAAAAATCTGTAAACTAGTAGAGCGCACCACAAGAACTATGTACCGATATTTCATTATTTTGTTAAGCATTTAAATTCCCATTCTAGATTAATAAATCATAGGCATAGACTAACTAGTTATGTATCCTACCAACCACCATAAGACAAGTTATCGTTTTAATTAATTTTCGATCCAGCATTATTTTATAATTTATACAAGTTCTGTTGGTTGCCCACGCACGGGAAAAGCCTTCCCTACCCCTTTGACATTTTCTTTAGTATTTGTCTATACCGTAATGTCTATGTTCCATTATGTTTTTAAAATTCATAATTTTAATGGTGGAAGCACATTATTATGACTTGAGACTTTGAGATTTCTCAACAATAACACTTTGTTAAGTGAACTAACAATGAAATAACTACAATAAATGGCTTGAGCTTTAAATCCTTTACCGGCTGTCTCGCTTTGTAATTGTCATTACTATTGTGTGTATTACATACACGTCACTTACAGTGCGATTGATAGCAAATAGTGCATTCACTATTCAAGACAGCTGCTTATGAGCGTCATTATTTGCATTTTCTCGTTGAAAAGGTGTCTACTAATAACACCCAGTTTCTGTAGCATGATACTCCGCGCTTAGACAATAGGGACAATACTTAGGGTATGTATGCATTTAAAATTAATTTCCAAGGGGGAGCAACTGTCCTCCATACTCCCACTTCTCATCACTACTGCAACTCCTAGTTACCCAGAATCTAAAGTGTACAGTTGCTGTTATGGGAAAACGTTCTGTAATAGAATACCCAGGATCCAATATGGCTACGATTACTAGGATAGGACATGATCTATAAAAGTGAACGAGCAACAGTCAGGATCCACCAGTTTGGCTACCGTTGCTGGCAAATGGTCTGTAAAAGTTACATAACAGCCAGTATCCTGTTTTGGATCCGATTGCTAGGATATGGTCTGAAAAATTACAGTTACACAGCCAAGGATCTACAGGCTCCAGTTAGTCTACGACGATTGCTGGTCTAACGGGACTATTCCCACCTCTCGTTCTCACCACTGCAACTCCTGTGTAGCCAGGATCTACAGCTTGACCGCCACAAAAACCCAACCAATGAAGGTCAAGTTTGTCCCCTGGTCTAGGCGTCTAGCAAATGTTTTGTTACTCACTATTTGGCCGAGTCGTTGAGCTGGTACTCATTGGAGCGGCCGAAGCACTCCTGCACCCCCGCGTCCGCCCAGAGCCTCTTCATCGCCGCAAGCAGCTCCTCGCTGAACGGCTCCGTGTCCTCCATCCGCTGGATCACGTCGAACACCATCTTGCCGTCACTCTGTGGGAAGAGGATAGTTATAAGAAGGTAGAATAAATCAGTAGTGGCGTGTTTCCATACAAATACGCGTACAATAACGCGCGCACTAGGTTGACTGACGATCTGGTGAAGGTCGCGGGAAGAGCCTGGATGCGAACAGCGCTGGACCGGTCGTTATGGAAATCCTTGGGGGAGGCCTATGTCCAGAAGTGGACGCCATTTGGCTGAAACGAACGAACGAACGCGTACAATATAAATCTATAGGTAGTTATCAATCATTTAAATTAACACACATTATGACGTCATGTCAATAGTTTCATAGTTTTGTATGGTAAACTTATGGAAATATTGGGAATTTGGGATGTCTCTCTAAAACTTCCAAAAGTATGTCTTACCTAAAACGATTTGATTTGCAATTAACATTGGGTAAATCTACCTACATTTTTATACTAAATGATCGTATTTCAATGATACGCTTTGTTATCTGTACATTATTTCCTTAACTGAAGTTCAGTGAACTGCCTGTAAATGGAGGCCCTAATCCAATTATCATGTTATTAGCGCATCAATTAGAAGCCGGTTAACAAGAACCCAGCTTATTCAGATGATCAGAGGCACAAATCTGACTAGCATAAAAACTGACATAAGACCTCATTTAGAAGATTAATCTCATTGATAGCGTAAGGAATCTGTCAAACTAAAAAGACCTCGAAAGCGGATTCAATCATTTGTGCGGCATCCAATCTTTACAGACAGCAGACTCGTCTAAACAGATCGATAGGACTGTCAGAATCAAAGAACAAAATCAACAACTGCTTGGATCGTCCTTTATCTTTAAACCACGGCAATGCGGCACGAAAAGTCATGAGCAAAAAACAAATCCGTGTCTGGCATGCTCTTTAGTGAGATTTTTGTGACAATGTATGTTCTAATTGTGACGGTTGTCGGCGTTTCGCGCACGCGCGCTGCCGAGAGCCCCGGACAGCCATTCACAACAAGGGTTGCCAGATGGCTGGGAAATCCAGGACTGTCCTAGAGTTTTGGGTCTTGTCCCGTGTACAGTAATAATAGAATTTATTGTCCCGGATTTCCGAAAACCTACTAGTTTTCTTCTTCTTTGCCTGGCCCATTCCTATTTTATTTGGGGTCGGCGCTCTTCGTTATGCGTCTCCAGGCAGCTCCGTCCTAGGTCGTCTCGCTGTTTACTTGGGCTTCTTTAAGGTCCTTATTTACTACGGAAATCCATTAAAACCTCGTCTTCCTCGTCCGCGGAAAACCTACTAATTTTGTGTGACAAAATAAACTAACAACGAATGACACGGCTGGCCTGCATGTGAGTCTATTATCTGATAAAAGTGTATTTGAAAATAAAATATTTTTACTATGGCCACGGCCACGACCCGACACCATTGTCCTAGAATAGTCCCGGATTTGATTTCTATCTGGCAACCCTATTCACAACCCCATCCCTGCCGCACCGCTCGCCACCCCAGCGACAAAACACACACATTGCATATTCATTTGAGCACACTCGCATCCATTAGCTACTTTATACCGGCACAAAATGTCGATAATTCCGCTTTAAAAGGAAGCCTTGATGTCTATTTCTCTCGATTGGAAATTTCAATTTCTCGTTATTGCATTCAATTGATGGACGACGCGCGGTAATCGCGATATTTACATTTGTAATTACAGATCGCGGATCAATCTTGTGGAAATCACGGCAGACGATTGCTGCAGAGTTATTATTAATAATCTCATGTCAAAATTTTATGTAAACTTCTGACGGGAAGAGTCATATTAGATTTTTATTTTTTATAGAGAAATGCTCAAGGTGGTAGTCGGGTCTGACGCAGAATGTAAACTTCGCAAAATGCGCACTTTTCTATATTTTATACAAATGTAAAGGTTGAAGAGTTAGTCGTTTGTGTAATACTAGTATGGTAAAGTGAGCATATTGCGAAGTGCTCATTCTGGGAAGTGCACATTCTGTGTCAGACCCTTTACGTCGTATATTCAGAGTGATAAGAACTTGAATTATTATAGTGCATGAACCTAAGGGTTAGGACAGGCGCCAACGCTACGACTCGGCCTGTGACTCAGCTTGATGATAAATAACTTAGTAAAGAGGACAAGTACTTCTAAAGACAAGTATATTAACTACGTTCATCGTCATTGAACGTTTAATTGATTACTGCGAACTCTTTATGGTAAAACGTTGTTCACACAATTGCATCTACGTAAAAGTCAAGTAATAGAGGATGTAATAGTGTTAATTACAATAGTTTTTATAACAGTCAATGAAGTGTCTGCTTCTTTACAAGTAGAAGGAGCAAAGTGCATCAATTGCATTAAACATTTTTCTTTCTTTCTATCTTTATTATTTTACTTCGTTAAGAACTGACCATTATACAAAATCACAAGGACATAAGTGGTACTAGAGATGTTTATGAAGCATTTCAATTCGCATATGAAATCAATACAAAACATATCCTACGAGATAATTTTAATGGATTATTGAAACAAATTATAAGTGCTAGACAAAAATTAATGTATTTTGTGAACTCTCTGGCTGTTAAGGTTGCAATGTATCTATTTTTTTGCTATGACAACCAATAGCAGAACACTGCTGCTGTCTGCTCACGTCTGCTCGTTTGCCTCCTATCACATAAAAAAAAAAAAAAAAAACTTACAACAGTACAAATCTTTAACGAATCGAGTCGAATCGATTGTTTGAACACTGAACGTCGATAAACCGCTAAACTTAGACCTAATAACTTCGTCTATTATTTACAAAGACACTGTCTAGTTGTCTACCTAGATAATGGGCTTGTGTTCTCTTTTGTTACGGTTAGATTAAAAACTGTCTGTTTAATAGTAACCAGAAATTAGGAACAGCGTTGCGATTAGTCAATGAATCGATTTTTAAATGCTGTTTTTGTTATTTATTGACACTGACTACAATAAATATTATATCACTTTCAAAATACGTTATTATGCTTTGATATTTATTTCATGTCCGGTAGCGAAAATAAGTTAGAAATATTTTAAAAATGTAAAATTTAAAGTAGTCAATGATGATATTTTTGCTTTTCTTGTTCATTCAATAATCCAACTGTGTGTGTAATAAATATGTGAGAGTAATAAATATGAGAGAATATGAGAGGAAGAATAAATAAATTAATATAGATGATGTTTATTACCTTTTAAATTACCTCCTACAAAACGGATTTTAATGAAACTAAAGTGATATCGTCGGAATAATAGGCCATAATTTGTAAAAATGGTCAGATTTTGATTAAACTTTTTTAGCATCACGCAAGCAAGATGCGTAAAAAAAGTAAATACACATTTTTGTTCTGACAAGTTAGAATTCAGAAGACTTCTTTCATCACCTTTGCTTACCCCATAAGTGCTTTTGCACAATAGCAAAAGTCATTATCACATTCTAGATTGATGGGAGAGTCAGTACTGAATTTTTGATAACAAGGTCTTGTAAATTCAATTACTTTTTCACACCATGTCATGCGACAACCAACGCGTCCGTCCACGTCACATTTCGTGACGCCAAAATCATGGAGCGCACCTTCATGTAGGTTTTAAGCGTTTCTTCAGGTTGCGTAATATCCATGACGCTTCTGTACAGACGACAGCATATCAGACTATACATTTTTGTTGCAAAATCACCCATATTACAAGATTATAAGGCTCAACAGTATACAGATTGATGTGCCCTCATCTGTACCTACATGACGTGGATTTTTTTCAAGTAGGGAAGGTGAACGGAATCCAGATACGTTATCGGTCTCGCACATCGGACATGCAGGTTGATACAATGTAATCGATTGGAGAGTAACACGATAGTTTGCGAATGGTAACACCACGTTTGTAGTCTGCGGTCTCTACAGGTGGTATCAATATCAATGTTAAAGGTATATTAAATTCTTATAAACGTAGGCTGTTAGAAATGATTGATCGTCTTCAAGATACAGGATAAGCGCATCTGAGCATCTATTTAAGTATATGTTACAGGAAATCCTTAACAATGTGGAGATGAACGAACAATAAGAATAGTATTTCTAAAGGTGGAAAGATTTCCAGGGACATCCAACACTTACGCGGACGAGTTCCAAGTCCAACGACTTTTCAATCTAAGCAACGCGACCGCAACCGAATAACAACTCTTCAATCATAATAATGGAAAATCCCAACGAGGTTCGACTCCAGAACAGATTCAGTGGCACAATGCAATAAGCAATAATATATTGTCTGCAGCACTCAGACGGCCACCAGCGCCACTCATGAATAAGGAATACCCCATATTGATTCCTTGTACAGAGCGCTTCGTAGAATCGACCTGGCAGGCTTCGTAACAACACTGCATTTTTTGCATATTTCATGCTATTGATTGCGTGTTTGAAAGGCTTATTTTGATGCTTACTTTTTGTTACACATTTGCCGTTGCATATTTTAATATTAATACAGCCAGTTTGACAGCCCTGTCGCACTTAGTTGCTGGTAACAATCTCGTTCTTTCTTGTAAAGCAAATGGAATACGATTTACTGGTATATTCAGGCTATGAATCATTTCACAAGAACTGGAACTTTGTATAATTTCCCATACTAATTTATCTTTTTCTTGAGCTGAGCTGTCTGTAGTAACACGATGCCTAATCGATTTTAGTGCCGCTTTCACACGATTACGGAGAAAGTCGACGATTCTAGTGATATCCATATCTTTAGTCTGTTCTTTGGTTTTCTGGAAGATGATGAATTATATTAAGAAAATACAATAATTGATGCCATTAATGCGTTAAACTAAGCACATTTCCAAAAAGTTAAAAAGATACAAAAGTCGATCGGCACAAAAACGATTTTAGATGGCCAGTGATTCGAATAATATAGCAAGAAAAGAGTGGGCAGGAAGGGGCAGTTCATCAAACACGAACTCCAGTAACACACATCGAGAATCGTATAATTTTTACGATGCTAATAGAGCAAGTACCATTTACATTACGTTAGCGGCAACCGGAAAGGACCACTCGCCTCGAATGGCGATGCAATCGAGATTTTTTATATCGATTATGCGTCTATTTATAAACTCGATGAGGATTCTTTACGCAATGAAAGTATATTTTAATACTGACTTAAAACAACTTTAGAACATGTGACTAAACAGTTTGTTGAGGCTTGAGGAGATAAATATAATATCGTAAACATGCAAGCTCTTAAATTTTCTAAAATTAGACGAGTTTAAAACCCTTCAAAATGTTTTTACTTGACGGCTGGCTTAAATTTAAAAGTGCATAGATAGAAAATTGGGCTGGAAGACGTAGCGTGGGCAGGCCTCCTAATAGACAGACGATCTGGTAAAGGTCGCGGGAAGAGCCTGGATGCGGGCAGCGCAGGACCGTTCGTTGTGGAAAACCTTGGGGGAGGCCTTTGTCCAGCAGTGGACGTCATTTGGCTGAGACGAACGAACGAACGAGATAGAAAATTAGGTTATAATTAGTCAGATATGAGAAAAAGATTCAAGGAAAAATAAGTAGACAATTTTTGGAATAGTTACATTAAATACGTTAAAATAAATAAGTCCACTACTTTCTGCGAACTGAGTAGTGATACTTTTTCATATTGCAGTAATGAAGAAAATGAGCACGTACACGCTCCATAAGCGGTAACCTAGATCGTGGTGATATTTTATACGCGTAGTTTGAATTTTAATTATATCAAACGTTGCTGTCTTATCAACTTACTAGCTGACCCGGCGAACTTCGTACCGCCTTAGCGTAGAGATTTTCTTAATATTTTTTTCCGTAAGAACCATCCTTGGACTTCCACAAACATTTAAAAAAAAAGAATTATCGAAATCGGTTCAGCCGTTCACACGTGATGCCGTGACAACGCGAAACGGGTTTCATTTTTATATATATAGATGTCAGTCGATTTTCGCCGGTATCAGAGCGATATCAGCCGAAAGGTCAAGCGCAATGATTTCAAAGTCAAAATTCAAATTCAATAGAGGTATTTTAAGAACTTCTGTGAATTCCAAATGTGGTTGCTGCTTTTTACAATCGCAAAATTAATGTGTTGCATTGTTTAAAGTTGAAACAATGGTTCTTTATGTCTGTTCGCACATCACTTGGGTAGGTACTGCTGAGAGGATTCTGATAGCCAGCTACTTTAGCGTATTAAATGTGAAATCTGCACTCTCTCATAATAAATCTTTTTTTATAGGTCGAAATTAATGTAGGTTGGTACCAGTTAAACAAATGAAAGTGATCAAGCTTTGATTAGAATCAGCAGGTTTATTTTGCTTGCGTTTCTCAGAAAACCTCGTCAAGAAAAACAGGTGTGCAATCCAATCCTTATTAGGACATTGACTTGTCTGAAGTCTACATGACATACTAGGCGAATGGCCTGATTCGCACCTTTTAAAAAGGAGATATGCCTTCTTATGTACTTTGATTCTAGTATTATATTTCATTGCTTGATTGGTTTCAACACCTTATCATCCACAGAATTCTTTATCATCTCTCTAAAAACGTGCCAAATCAAACCCTCTGCTAATACAAATGTCTTAATAATCTACTCGTCCCTACTATTGCCGTAATGAAGAGATTGGTTTGACACTAACATCTGCAGCCGAGATGGATCTTTCTAGAACATAGCAAATCAAACCCTATGCTTATATGGATAATGTGTTAATTACCTCCAGGTCCTTATTGGCGTAGGTGATGCCCACATTGGGTAAAGCGCGCAAGATACTACCTAATTGATCAAATCGCTGGATTGGTTTGACAACACCTTATCATCACCTACAGGGCAGCTGAGTATACGTCTTTCTAGAGCATACAAAATGAAACCCTATGCTTATAAGGATAATGTGTTAATTACCCCGTCCTAATTGCCGTAGATGATGCCCAGATTGGGCATGGCGCGCGAGATATTACCAGACCGATTGATCCAATCGCTGGATTGGTTTGACAATACAACCTGCTACTGAGTATTCGTCTTTCTAGTAGAGCATACCAGATCAAACCCTATGCTTATACGGATAATGTTTTAAATTGCTCCCAGTCCTTATTGCCATAATAACGAGATTCGCTTGAAATCCTAACTTCTGCAGCCGAGAATCTTTCTACACTAGAACATAGCAAATCAAACCCTATGCTCGTAAGGATAATGTGTTAATTACCTCCCGGTCCTTATTGCCGTAGGTGATACCCAGATTGGGCATGGCGCGCAAGATGGCGACGAGTGACTGGATCGTGTTACTGTACACCACTGGCCGGTACTGTTTGAAGTCTTCATTCGTAAAGCCACTTTCATGAATAATTCTGTGGACAAATTAAATGTATTAGAATATGCACAAAGTAAATACATAACAGAAACAATGTCATAACCTAAATCCGATACTCACTATCTATCTACGAATTGCCCTATTTAAGAGCTAGAAAGAAATCGTGAATAGATAGTGCATCAGCTCAGTCCAAACTCCAGACATGTATGTAGGTTCAAGGGAGATCAGTCTAATCAGAAAGACCATGAGTAGTGTTCTACCAACTTCCGTAGACGACCTTTTATGTATTTTACTCGGCGAAATTTTATGTATTTTAGCGTGAAATAGGATGTTAAAACAAAGGCTTGTGTTGTGTGTGTATTCCAAACCTCAATAGTAATTAGCTATTTTCGGGAAAATCAAATGTCTCACATAAATTAAAACTCCTGAAATTCCTGCATGATTCGAGAACGTCAAAAGTTATCAATTCTTAAGGACCATTTCCCAGTCGAAATTACAAACGATCTTTAAACGGCTACAACACTCCCAATGTTAATTTAATTAGCTTGTTCTTGAATGAACGAGTTAATGTTACGTGATTACTCATCGACCACATCTTTGTGATTCATTGGTAGCTCAAGAAATAATATCAACGTATAAAGAAACTATAGTTTCGGAATCACAACATAAGCAACATTTACTTAGATGAAAACGGAATATTTATTTATCATTGACATCTGGTAATTGTTTATGATAACAATTAACCGATAAACGTCCGTATGAAAAAGACAATTAGTGTAATTACTTTACTTTTTTGATGTTTTCGGACAATAATTTTTTATTTGGGATACTACAATTTTAGTTGGTGCAGCGCGGCGCCAGTAACCAATTATTCGTCAGTTTTCGTTACATATAAATTAAAATCTATTTTTATTCTTAAAGAATTCAGTTACACGATCATCGACAAGGGAAAGTCAACTATTTGTACATGAATCACTTTAGTGATGCTTTCATTTTCAAGAGTAGAAATTACCGGATGATGGAGAGACTGTAGTATATTCCAAGTTCAGTGAACGAGTTATTTAGCTAGTCACCAAGCTAACAGCGGGGAACATAAGCCTGAGTCATGCAGCAGTTTTTGTCATGGAAATCGATCGAGTACGGGTTTTCCGGGCAGACTGGTCCGGTTCTTTCATAATGGGACATAAGATTCATCATCGTAAATTAGCCGTTAACAATGATGACAGTTTACAATTGTGTGAAATTGAACTTGGTAGTTCAAGCATTTCTCACCAAGTAAACTTTCCCAAATAAGAATGTTAAGTGTGAAATAAAAAAACATCTTTATTTTCGGACATGAGGGATTCCAGGGTTGGTCATGTGAAAAAAGACTTGAACCTTGAACTTTACGGGTGACGTGACGTCACTCGTTCCAGTCTGCATCCGGAATGGAGATGACGTCATCCCATCATAACTACCAACCGCCCAAATAACAACCATTACGATGCTTGATCTTGTATCGACGGCGTAATCCCTCCACGACGCTCCGTAATCTCCAGTTATCGTGATTTGTTGACATTAGTAAGTAAATGCGATTAGATTATATCTAAAATGACGGGTCTGTCAATGGTGGAATTGTCCGAGTAAAGACAGATAGCGAATCAATGTGCCCGACGGCAGATAGGTGCCTTGAGTCGGGTATCAAGGATAGATGCAACAATAGTTAATTCGCATTGTGGTTAGTTTTGTAATATGCGATGCGATTAGATTTTTCTTGACCGTAGGACAACATGGAACCGGCTAACTGTAGTTGTAGTGTAAAATATCGTGTACGATATTTTGCGTAAACATTCGGCAAACAAAAAAATTACAGTTTTTCTCTTAGAGCTTTTCTCCTTCGATGACAAAAAGGAAAGTATGTAACATTCATTTCAGAATGTAGACGACCGGTGATCTATCATTTGTAAAAGAATAACAATTCATTTGATATTTTTATACTAACGATTATTATTTCTTTCCATTGTTAATGTTAGTCACATTATTACATATAGGTACATGTTGTCCTAACTATAGCAGTAAGTACATGACCTCAGACATCGAGCCCGTTCGCGTTAGTGACAGGCATTGATATGTCCGTTCGATTGTCCGTGCCTATTATTTACTACACAAGTAGGATATATTGTATTCTATAGATAGTACAACAAGCATTTGTATTTGGTAATCTGGCTAGCTATGATATTGCTTTTTCTGGTTAGTTGTACTTACTGGGGTTACAACTACAACCCTACTCCAAAGACTTAATGTTCTTTGTGCAACAAAACCATATTTCTTTTCGGATTTATCAGCTTGATTCAAGCCTGTAATGTCCTAGCCAAAGCATAAAGTCATGTGAGAATCGCAATTAAATAAAACCTTTTGTATTTTTGTCGGGTAAGAACTAGACCTTTGCCAATGATGAAAGAAGAAGGATAAAAGGCATATTTCTGAAAGTTTCACGGAATTTAATATGCGATGCAGTTTTTAGCAGCTAAGACAGCTTGTCTAGTTTTTAGGTGTCTTGGGTTAAGGACAACAAAACCCCGAATCAATTGTTATAAAACGAAAACATATCTCGTTACAGAGCATAGATATTATGTTTTATCGCCGAAATGTAAAATGCTTGTTGACAAGTCGCCGATAACAGATAAGAGATAGCAAACAAACGGCCCGTCGATAACACTGGTCAACAGTGGTTTTGGTGCCAAGGAACTGTATATATTTTTTGATTGAGGACCTTATCCTGGTTGCTTTAGTAGCAAATTTGTTGATTTCCTACGTGTGGTTTTCTAGATTTTGACGTGTATAGAAAAATACAAAATTTCACCAAAATCAGCGTTTATAATATTTTGAAGTGCTTAAAAACTTTCTTTTCCACGACTTTTGTGAATGAAGTGTAATGGAACTATCACGTTACATCCTCTAGCAGTAATCAGCCATCATATACCGATCCCATCTGCCTTGGTACCTCTCTTCCAATGGTTTTTAGGTCTTGATAGCATCGCTCTCCCTGTTCTTAGCTATAGCATGCTATAGTGACCCAAGATTCTCTGGGAATTGGTCAAGATGACTGTGGAGGTAATGCCCTTTGATGAAAATTATGACATCCTGAGTTTTTAAGGCATGTCTCACAATTTCAGACTAGTTACTGGACTAGTGATTTCCGAAAAATGAATTGTAATTTCAATGAACAAAATCTACGCAAATCGTTCCAAATAGTCCATCGAACTTAAGGAATCAGTATATTTTATTAATATTGATATTTATGAACCATCAAAAATTACTTAATAAATTAATTAAAATCTTTTTTTATGCTCAAACTAGGATCTTTTTTTTGTTCTTTCCTCACTTTGTCCACTCTGAACTTCATGTTACGGCTTCTTTGACCATTGTAACATTGCCTTAAGTGTTCACAGCAGCTTATACAAACAATTTTGGGTATCCACGGCTTGTATACAACCACAATTTCTGACTTAAAGTAAGAAAAATAAGCACTTTTAATAAAATATTGCCGGAATTTTTGAACCTTTTAACTGTGTACACACCACAAATGAAACAAAAATACATTTTGATTGTTGAGACAACTTCTTAGCAATGTAGACTTGATATTAAAATAAATGCATTTATAAAAATGTACCAATAACACTAAAAACTGTGCAACCAAAGTACCGATTAAAGCTAAATTTTAAAACTGAGGGTAGATCCAAAACTACACGTAGGAAAAAGAAAAGAAAAATATTTTTATTATTACTAATACACACCTAATAATAAACTATCAATAGAATCTCGGCACCATTTTCATTTTGATTTTTTGTTGACCTGTGNAGAGTGGCAGACTAACATACAAGGAAATACTTTGTACCTGGTTGATTACCTCTAAGTATGAATTTTTAGTATAAAACGGCATTAGTTCTTATGCCTCTCACACAAAAAATACCTCAATTAAGCCCAAATTTGAGACCGCAGCAAAACTTTGAGTGACGATGGAAACTAGCCTACATGGAGGTCACATGAAATTGAACTTCTGCTTCTTCATTGATAAAGACTTATCATTTACCATACCTTATCATTTTGTATTCCATTTTCAAGTCACTTTTTTTTCGCTTACTGTTTAACCCAGATACTCCTGAAACTTTTTATACTTGTCAATTTTTATAAATTTTTAGTATGTTTCTAAATAGAGGTCAAGTATCCACAGAAAAATATTAGAAAAATTCTTGGTCAACTGGAAAAGCCGGAAAATGGGTGGTGTTTAAACACCTGGTCGGAGAATGGACTACTACCACAACTACTACTATGAGAAAAAAACATACTATGATTTTGTTAGGTTTAAGAGTTAAAAAGGAGTTGTAAGTTATACTCATTTACTAAAAAAATACCAAAATCTTATTCAGAGCTATTGTATATGGTAAGACATAAATCATAGCCTAGGATGCTTTAGNACTGTAGTACTTATAGTTTCCGAGTAAATCGGCTGTGACAGACGGACAGACGGACAGACGGACAGACGGACAGACGGACATGACGAAACTATAAGGGTTCCGTTTTTGCCATTTTGGCTACGGAACCCTAAAAAGGAGTTGTAAGTTATACTCATTTACTAAAAAAATACCAAAATCTTATTCAGAGCTATTGTATATGGTAAGACATAAATCATAGCCTAGGATGCTTTAGTACGNATGTATGCGCTATAGATGCTAAGAGCGGATTTTACGAAACTCCACCCCTAATGGAGTAAAACGAGGTCCACGCGTACGAAGTCGCGGGCGGCCGCTAGTTTATTATAAAAAACAAATCTCTCAAATTTTAATTTGGAATAAAAAAAACATTTTATTCGAGATAAATTATTCAATAAATAAAACACGACTTTTTGATTTTTGCTCGTGTGACTGGTCGAAAACATACATAGGATTACGCAGCATGATAGGTACAAATGGGATCGCTGGGATCAATTCAAAAATCAACATTTCCTGCTACTACTAAACATTTTTTTTTACATATTTATAATAAATAACCCCTATA